GCATTACAAATAAATATCGACGTTGAAACTCCAGTACTTGAGTCAGTAATATAAACTCAAAAACTCGATAAAGAATAATTTTTTCAAATTTGAAAGTGGTGAAGAACGAAATATATTTTTACCTTAGCTCTCGGGTCTCTTCAATAAGATTGAGAGGGTCACGGGGTGCATCTAAATCTCGCGATGCTTCAACCAAAAAAATGATGTAAAATTGTTTCATATCACATGTGTGCCATGTATTTAATTCGTTTTACATAATTATTTTAGGGAATGCAGCGACAATAAAAAAAAAAAAAGTAGAATTAGCTCTAATTACTTTTATAATGAAGTTTCTTCACTTTGGTAAACCAAAGTATTGAAGGTTTCAAAATTATACTATCTGAATTTTATTTTCGACTTTTCTCTCGAAATTTCTTTGCGAAAATAATTTCATTTTGTTGGTATATTAAGTTAAGAATTATTCTATGTGTACACCTTGTTGTGTACACAATCTTTTACACCCCCTCACATGGAGGGGGGGTCCACAAATAATAAAATATTTGTGGGCCCCCCCCCCTCCATGTGAGGGGGTGTAAAGGATTGTGTAAACTATTGTGTACACATAGCATGTCCCTTAAGTTAAAGCCTTTTCCCACTTTCCCACTATGAGCATCTTTGTTTCTGTTGTCACTTCATAGCGCCTGGACGCTTGTATTCCAGCGTATGGGCGTTGAGTTGCTGTTCCAAACTCTACGTCTGTTTCAGTATTTTTGTCATAACTTTTTCTCCCGTTATCCGATTAAGGAAATTCAAATGCGTTGGAAAGATAACTCAAAGGACTACAACTTTGTTACAAATAGATCTTTTTCAATTTGAACGTTTACTGGGCAAAAAATGGGTCTCAATCTCCAACTAAAAATCTGGACATCCTTGTGAGGTTGAAAATTAATTTGTGAAAATATTTTGGTCATATTTTCACTCCTTTTGACTTTTAGTTGTATCCATTTAACCCCTAACATTCTCGAATCTTCATTGTGAGCTCCGACACTACTTTTGAGTATTGCACTTTAGCCCCCAAACTTTGGATATTGCCATTTTTAGTCAATTTTCGCATCTTTCTTTCAATTTCACTTACATTCATCAAGTTTCATCTAATAACACATTATAAAATAAATTAGGCTATAATTCCATTAAAAGAATTACTAAATGTCAATATTTTAGAGCTCGAATTAGTGCATAAAATACATTTATCATCGGTATATTAGTTTAAAGCCTTTTCCCACTTGGCCCGTAAATCCTTGAGCAAGCATTGTTTTGTTATTGGATTATCAATATTCCTTTCATAGACAACTCAAGTTGTGTAGAAGTCTGAACATATTGATCATTCCCATCATATCTTGTATTAAGACGTGTCTTAAATACTAATTCCTAAGTTTAGCATTTTCATAAGAAATTTTTATTATAGTTTTCAGAATCGACCCGATCATTGACCTAACCAAGGTACCGGGTCCATCAGTTAATGATTCAAGCGACAGGTCACACGTTCAATCGCTAAGTCGTTGTTGGGTTGAAAGTTTAGATAAAAAAATGTTATTTGAAATAAAATTTGAGGAAGTTTAATGCGTTTTAAGTTAAAAATTAGTTTCAAGTTTCAAGTATTCTTTTTTTTTTTTGGTCATCTACATATTACTATCTAAATTTTTTTTTTTTATTTTCCCATTTATTTTTATCTTTTACATCATTGTTTTATATTTGCAATTTATGATCTTCCTTAAAGAGGAAATTACACAAATCTAGGTGTTTAAAAATTGACTTTCAAAAATCAGATTTAAGTTTAATCAGTCAAAAATCAGGTAATAATTTTATA